GCAGGTGGCGGCTCAGAGAAGGCCTCTCGGGCCGGGGCCGCCCCCAGCCGGGGTGAAGTGGGGCCTGCAGGTCTGCCAGGCCGGGCTCCGGCCCACTCGCGGAATGGGGGAGGGGAGCACGCAGGGGCCGCCCCAGCTCACTGCCACCCTTCCTGCTGCAGAGGGAAGATGTCCGGGCCCACCGCCCCCGACGAGGGAACCACCTTTGAGAACCTGTGGAACTCACTGTGAGTATTTCCTGCCCCCCCTCCCCCCCGCTGGCGGGCTGGGGTGCTGCCGGCCTGCTCCTGGGGACCCAGCTCTAAAGTCTGAGCGCTTCCTTCTGACCAGCCTTCAGAGGGGTCGGGGCCAGGGGAGGCCCAGGGGACAGAGCCCACTGTGACCCTCCCTCCTCCCTGTTCACACCGGCCCTGGAAGGGCAGCACGGAGGGGAGGAGGCAGGAGGGGGAGGGGAGGCTGCGGGCATGAGTCCCTGGGACTCACGGCGGTGGGGGGGTGAGCAGGAGAATTAGGCTCCCCACGCCCCCAAGCCTGGGCTGGGCCTGGGCAGTCGGCTGACAGCGCTGCTTCCTGTCCCCAGGCCCCACAGCACCTACTTTGACCTGCCCCAGGCCAGCCAGGGCAGCAGCGAGGGGGTCAGACCCGACAGCACCTACTTTGACCTGCCCCAGGCCAGCCAGGGCAGCAACGAGGGGGCGTGTGGTGCAGAGGCCGGCATGGACTTCCACCTGCCGGGCATGGCCGCCTCATCTGTCATGGTGAGTGGGGTTGCTGCCAGCAGAGGGTGGGCAGTGAGGGTGGACCGTCCTGTCCTGGGAGCCTGCGGACACAGGAAACAGGCTCTCTGCGTGCTCTGTGGGGTTGTCAGGGCATTTCAGGGGCAAAACAGAAAATATATCAGCTCACATAACCCTCAGGTAGAGATGCCAGGGACAGGTGTGAACTTAGCTATGGCTGGATCAGGGGCAGGTGTGAACTTAGCTATGGCTGGATCAGGGGCAGGTGTGAACTTAGCTATGGCTGGATCAGGGGCAGGTGTGAACTTAGCTATGGCTGGATCAGGGGCAGGCGTGAGTCAGGTATGGCTGGATCAGGGGCAGGTGTGAGTCAGGTATGGCTGGATCCAGGTGTTTAAACAGGTGCCTCTCCTGCCCTGCTTTCCGGATGGTGGCTTTGCTCTCAGGCAGCCTCCTCTCATGGGGGAAGTATAGGCTCTACCAGCATCCCCCTCTCTGGGCCCTGAGTCCCTCAGGCCTGCTTCTCATTGGTCTGCACGTGGTCATGTGCCCACCCCCAGCCACCCCTCTGCCTCTGCTCTGCCTGGGCCCCTGGAACCCCCTGGGGGTCGGATGGAATGAGGTGACATGGGCTCCTCCCACACAGGACTGAGTTGTGGGGGAGGTGGAGGGAGGGGCGTGGCTGGGGCTGCAGGGGCCGTTGGGGCCACACCCCGCTGGCTGCAGGGCCTGAGGTCCCGCCAGCTGGGCATCCTGCTGGCAG